ATTATTAATTATCATTATTACTATTAATTATCAGTTATTATTACAACAATACAATCATAATAAATAATTAAATGTTTTTCAAAAAAAAAAAAAAGGGAAAAAGAAAAATCAGTAATACATTTATTAATTTATCATTGTTTAAATTAAATTATTAAATTTCAGTTCACTCAAGGTAATAAACGACCAAAAAAAATGGATTGGAAATAGTAGTAGCGGTGATGGTGGCGGTGATGGTGGTGTTGATAGTGGCGGTGATAGCACTGATAATGATGATTGTAAGATTGAGGTATTACTGGGATATATGGAACAGTTGAAAAAATCACAATTAAATAATGATGTAAAGCAAACAGATGACGAGGCTAAAATGCAAATGGATTTTTTGAAAGTGCAAAACGATTGCGATGAAATCAAATCTACAAATTCTGGTAAAATTTATAAATTAAAAATTGTTTCTCTTTTTTTTTTTTTTTTTTTTTGTTTTCTTTTCTATGTGATTATTGTTGAATAATTTTTGATTTATATTTCATTTGCTAATTATTTAATTATTATTTATTTTTTTAGTTAAAAGCGAGGAAATATTAATAGCAGAAAATAGATTGAAAAATAATTGTATGAAAAAAAATTCGATGGAAAATTCCATAATATCTGATAACAATATTTCAACGTTATATACGTTTAATAATCATTTTGGTTACGTTGATTTTGCTCAATGTGCAGAAGATGCTTTTACTCGAACACATAAAATTCACGTTAGTAATTTTTAAATATAAAAAAAAAAATTTTTTTTTAATGAAATGTTTAATTTAAATAAAAAATAAAATTCATTTAATGCTAAATGAATAGATATTAAGTTTTTTTTTTTTTTAAATTTACATATCTGCAAATTTAATTTTCCTAAAATAAGTCATTTCAACTGATAATTCTTTTTTATGAAATGTATTATTTATTAGTTAATCATCTTTTTTCATGATTTCTAAAATTATAAAATGTGAATTTGAACTTTTTTTTGTGATTTCAAATTTCAATTTTATTCCATTTGATACTTATTTTTTAATTTTAACGTAGTATTTTTATTTATCAACTAATTTTTTCTATTGTATTTTTTGAACTTACAAAAATTAAATTTAAAAATTTCAGAAATCCGTTTTTTTTTTTTTTCAAAATTATCAATTTTTTTTAAGGAATTTTCATGGGAAGATCAAGGCTATAGCTGTGTTGATGAATTATATAATGAAATGGCTGATATTTTGGATAAAAAAATGACACTTATTCAAAATCTTACTTATTCCACGTAATTATTATTTTTATTGATTATTTTAATGTTGTCACTTTAATTAATTTTATAATTAATTCTTAGCATTTGATTATTGATTATAATTACTATTATAACAATCATAGCCATTATTTCTACAATGTATAATTCTTGATTTCGATAAATATCTTTCCTTTTTGGTCATCTTTTTTGCTGTTAAAAATTTCAAATTTCAAGAAATAAGCATTAAATTATTTTAATTAATTAATTACAAAATATTTAATCATTTTAGAATGGGTGCTTATAGTGATGTGGATACAAGTAAATATCGAAATGCAATTTGGATGTACATTCAATCGTTATATGGTATCGTATTATTAACTTTTCCTTAATTAATTATTAAAAGAAAAAGCATAAGTTAGAAGAGTTACAATCTAATCAGTACTTTATTAGTAAATTTTTACTTAAAAGTTTAAAGCTTAAAGCAATTCTTTTTTATCCTGTAGTATCACATGTACAATAACATACTAAGTTAATAAGTTAATGAATGATAAATTTGTAACTCGTTAAACGAATTACCAAATAGATTAATTAGTAAATTGCTAAATAAATGAATTAGTAAGCAAATTAATTAATGATTAGATTAATAAATAATCATTAATCAATTTGTAAATACTTAAAATATATATATATATATTCAATAAATTGCATTTTGAAAGTATTTAATTACAGGATTATTGTCATTAATATTATATTACAAAACAAAAAAAAAAAAAACTGATAATATTCATTAAACATTTCAAATTATTATTTTTTTTTTTTTTTGTTTAACATATATGATGAATGAATTGTAGGATAAGAATTAAAAAAGAAAAATTAAATAAATGAATGAGTAATAATTATTATTTGTAATTTAAGAATTTTTTAACAGTATGCAATTACAGGTATTCGACACGATGATTATAATTATGCTGAAGTAAATATTATGCTAAATCGTAAAATGAAAACATTTATCAAGATGACATGTTGTCATCCACATCAAATAACAGATTCATTACGACAGTCTGTTATGATCGATTTTAGATCATCTGAAAAGGTTTGATAAGCGTTTTTTTTTTTTTGAAATTATGAAATTAGATGTATTATCTTTTTTTTTTTTTTTTTTTGAACTGATAATGATATATTATCTTATTTACATTACATTTATGCATTATTTGTTTACACTCATTATTATACTACTAAAAGTTATTACTTAACCAAAAAAAAGAGAAAAACGACAAATGTAATCTTTGATCTTATCATCATTATCATTTTCATATGTAAATTTTGGAAAATTTTATAATTTTTCACTACTGCGATTAGCTGCTGTTAAGCTATAAAATTTGAAATTGTTTTTTTTTTTTTTTTTTTTTTTGATAAAATCATTTTATGGTGCAGCAGTAGTGTGTATCATCATTTTTCTAAATGTTTTATTTTTAATTGTTTAATTTAATTAAATTATTTCAATTTAATAAATTGAATTAAATTTTTACTCTTTTTTTCATTCTGAGTATTTAATTAATTTAAATTAAATTAAATTAAATGAAAATTTTAGGTACATGTATTACTGATAATGATGGAAGCACGTCTTCAAGCGGAATTGATTTATTTCTTTCGTGCTCTTGTCAAATTCAATAATTCATCAACAGTTGCTTAGCTTATCTTATCATTTTCTTGTTCTTATCAGTGATTATTTGTAAAAGGCTACAAAAATTTGAGTTTTTTTATTTTTGTTCCTTTCTTTGTTTAGCTATGATAAAAGGTTCAATTGTTTTTTTTTTTTTTTTTTTTTCTAATAAATCATTTTTTTTTTAAAAATTGTTTGATAATTTTCATTGCATTTGTTTTACATATATATAAAAAAAAAGACTTTTTTGTTTCAGTTAATTAAATTTTGTCGTTAAATTTAAACTTCGAATTCGTTTTAAAATTAAATATTTTAATGAATATAAAATTGCTGTAGCAACGACAAACTTTTCCAAAAAAATTTAATGTAATTTGATCAAAAAAAAAAATTTTAATGTAATTTTTTTTTTTTTGTTACATTTGATTTCAATTGATTGTGTATATTTCAGAGGAAAAAAAAAATAATATTGTAGCTTCCACTTTTTTTTTTTTTTGCTTTATCCTTGTTTATTGTTTTTTTTTTTCGTTCCATATTATTTTCATTAAATATGTTTGTTTGTTTGTTTTTTCTTTTCATCATTTGTCATATAATTTTTATTTTCTTTATTGTTATATTATTGCTTATAACTTTTTCCTTTTTTTTTTTTTTAAAGAATGCAATTTTAATTTTACTTCAGTTTCCAATTTATTATTGGAAAAATTATATTCACCTCATATTAGTGCCATATATTCCTCTCCTTTTTTTTTTTTTTTTTTTTTTGTTGTATTTCTTTTTATTTTTAATTTTTCACTTTTGTAAGGAAAAAAAAAAAACTTTGTTTTTGTTTTCTTTTGAAAAAATAAACAAATAAATAAAGAGTAATGCATTTAAATTTGAATAATTTAAAAGAAAAAAGAAATCCATTCATTCAATCATATATTTAATTATAATGAATTTTTTTCCTCTCATTTTTAGATAACGATTGATTTTTTTTTTTCATTCATTTTGAAAAAAAAAAAAAAAAAAAAGATGCTTTTATGATTTATGCAAAAATTTGTATATTTTTTAAAGTCTTTCACTTTTTTTCTCATTTTTAAAAAGTTTTGTTTCTTTTTAAAAAACAAAAAAAAACGTAAATAAAATAAAAATGTAAATAAAATTATTAGAGATGAAAAAAAAAGGAGAATTGTTGCTATTACATCCACTTAACCAATTAATTTTATCAGCCAATCAATCAATTAATCGAATTTAATCGCTAATATGCAAAAATTGAACATTTTAAATTAAAGTAATTTGATACGTTTGTATATTATATGTAGGTACGTGTGTACATACGTATGCGTTTCTGTATTACGCATATATATATGATACGTGTACACCACATATGTATGACGTGTCTGTGTTTGGAATGACGTGTATGCGTGTGTGGATGCGTGGAAATAAGCACGTATTTTAATATATTGATGCATAACAGAAAACAATCATAATTTTAAAACAACAATTTCTGATAATAGTTTGTTCATTCATTAAGGTTATAATAATTACAATTAAAATTGAACTAATAAAAATTGCCCTTTTAATTCGAAAGAAATGCCCAATTTTTGCAATCATTCTCAAGAGAAAGAGAAAAAAAAAAGATGAAAAAATGGAAGACAAACCGTAATAATAACCGTCAATGGGTTTGAAGTCAAATTGCGACGGAAAAATTTACCGAATTTTAAGTATTAAACATTTATACATCAAATAACTTTTACATTTATTATGCTAATTTATTGTATGCTTCATTTCTTATGAACATATTTTTATAAAATTAATTGTAATATATCAAAATTTGAGTATATTTAGAAGTATAACTATCAAAAATTAAATTATGCATTTACTTTTTCATTCTTAAAACTAATAAAAAATGAAATTATTCATTTACTTCACTCTTAACATATTTTTTCTAATTTTGCTAAAATTTTTATTGCTAAATATTGATTTCATCTTTTTTCACATCCTCTTTTCTCTTTCTCTATCTCTCTCTCGGTCTTCCTGTATTTAAATTTGAATTATTTTTATTTGATGTAATAATATTTTTTAGACAAAAATATAGGAAATTGAATGGGACCGGATCAACTCGGTGCTGCACATTTCCATACCGCATCGAAACCATTAAAAGAAATTGATATACGTCTTCCGGAAAATCTTGTTAAGGTAATCAGTTTATTAAATAAGATTAGTTATCCAAGCGAGAATTAATTTTATTTCATTTTCGAAAATATAAGAAATGAAACTGTAAATGTAATACAGAAATATTCTCAAATTATTCAAAAAAAAGATATTAGTATGGAGTAAAATTTGAGTTTATTTTTGTTTAAAATAGCTATGTAGATGTTTATTTCAATATTCGAATTTAAATTTTAATTCTTTGTTAGGTTATTTTTCACACCTATAACTTTTCACTTTTTTTTTCTCTTGAAAAATTTATAGATTTCAACGAATAGGTTTCATAAGGAAAAAAAAAATACTTATTCGCATATTTAAATTGGCACTTTTTTTAAAATAAGTTATTTTTATTGCAAATATATATCATATTTATTTTTTATTCATCATCTGCATCCGATAAAAATCAGACAAAGCGGAAACAAATTTTTTAATGTAATGAAGAAAATTTTCATTTCAGATCAGATATTACTGATATTACGATAAATAACATTACTAATAATTTAATTTAAATTATGAAAAAAGAAAACTCCATTAATTATGAATTAATTAAAATATATTGAAAATGTTATTATTATTTTTATTAGTGAATTTTCAAATAAAATTTTCAATTTTTTTTAGTAAGTTTTTTTTTTTTTTTTATAAATTTTAATTTGATTTCATTTATTATTTTCATTTTTTTCAGGGAGCTGTGAAATTGGATCCACATTTAAAGAGATATCTAGGCGATGAATTTCCTACAGAATGCAATACAAACGTTACTTGGGCATATTTAACTTTTGACAAACAGGCAAATTTTATTACAGTTTAGAGCTAAGATAATGCAGCTCTTTTTCACAGTTTTTTAGACTTTAATTGTTAATATGTCTTACTTTTTGTATGTTTCATCTCTTTTTTTAAAAAAAAATATGTTTTATCTTTTTTAATTAGAGTTTTGTTGCAGTTAAAATTGAAGTTAATTTTGCATATTCACAAAGTTAGAATTGCTAAAATCACTGAAAAGATATATTACTCAATTCATTATTTGCAGAATGAAGTTTTAACGGATTTAATTACACGTTTGAGTATCGAATTGAAGCTACCACAATCGGAGAGGAATACATATGCATTGAAATTTGAAGATTATGGTAATGATGGTGTTTTTCTAACTAAGGAAAATCGTAGTTTGGTACCCCAAGGATTCATTCTTATTTTAACCGCATCTCCGGTATTATTTTTCTAATTTTGCATATCCTTTAAATTTCTTTTTTCTGCAAATAAATCCGAATTTGTTATTCCTGAAATGCCAGCTTTCGATTTATGATAAAATTAGAAAGAAAATTTAATGATGCTTTAAAGCAATAAAATTTTATAATAGTTACAAAAGAATTACATGTAAATGAACTAAAATATAAACATAGTTATTTTTTGTCATAACTGGATTAAAGTTCTCATTTTTTCTTATATTTCAGTATATTTTGTAATCGATTATTTCAACATTTTAATCTGATAAATTGTAAAATTGAAAATTTAGCTAACTTATAACACTTATTTTTTATTTTTTTCACAGGAACGTTATGCGCATTATTTCTTATCACGTTTGCATAATCCTGCAATTCATACTGGAGATTTACGAGTAACGCTTAATGAACTGATGGCTTTATGCGGTGATGTTTCATTTGCAACACAATTTTTGCGTATAGGTGGATATGATTATATATTTGAAGTTATCGAAAAAGGATTATGTGCTGAGTATACATTCACTTTCATTTCTTATAATATTTTATTGAAATTCGTGGATTTTTTTCAGTTTTTTAAAATTTTTTCCAATGAATTTCTTTAGTTTGATCAATTTTTAGCATTATAAATCATCAATGATTGTTAGACTCATATTTGATAAAACCAACATTTATCTAAGAATGAATAAAATCTATGCTAAAGTAATTCAAATTTTAACATTGCTTTAAGCAGTTTTTTTTAGCAGCGTTTCCTCTCAATCACGTTTTCTCCAAGCATTGCTAATATTGATGGATCATCCTGGTTTAATGTATTGGTCACAGGTTTCGGATGAATTTGTTTCTAAAATAGCAGAAAATATTACGGGCAGAGCCAAACAAGAAGATAATACCTTATTAGTTTCATCGCTCAATATTATCGATCTTATTTTAAATGCTAAAAAGTATAAAATTTTTCCAATGGATATTTATAGGAATAAATTTGACTCATTTAATTATTTTTATCTTTCATTTAATCTTACTGCTCTGCATAATATGTTTTCTTGTTAATCTAAATGGTATTTTAGTTTATTAACCATTGCAGTTGTTAACACTGATACTTGTTTCGGTAAAATCGGAGTAAAACATTGATATCCTAGATGACGACCTTTGCTCCCTTTCATCATGATAACTTCTGTTATCAAAACTGATTCCATTATTAAACTCACAAATTTAATTCGCATTCCGAAAATTATAGTAATCATGAATATTCAAATTCATTTTTTTCTTTTTTAATTTGTTGTTTAGAAGCTGTAAAACATATTTTAGTAATTTCCTATGTGAATTTCTGAAAATATAATTCATATTTTTAGTAGTGCTAATGTTCTTTGAATTTCAGTGATGAGAAAATGAATCTGGTATTGCGAGAGGTACCTTTTGAATCACTTATACGTCATCTTGAAAAATCAGACGAACGAGTCATTTTGAATGTTTTGACGTTGATGAATTCTTTATACAGTAAGGCCAGAGACCATGTAAAAAATGATATTGTGGAGGTGAGAGTAGAAAAATTTTATTTCTTTTAAAAATATCGTATAAATTTTAGTGTTGGCAGTTGTAATATGTTATGAATATGATAATATTGATAGTAGAAGTTTTTTTGATGATATTTTTGGCTAACTTTTAAAGGTAATAGTAGTAAATATCATTAATATCAATTAGCGATGAAAGCTCAGTCACATCATTTTCAGATGCGAAAAATTAGCTTTTGGATTGCACTCGAAATTTGCATTTTTAGGTTAAAATATTAGTAATATTTCATTTTCATTTCTGTTATTTTTTTTTTTTTTATTTCATCATTTTTATTCTTTTTATATAGTTTAATGTACGTATTTCATATTTGGAATATATTTCACTGATTTCAAAATTTTATAAAAATGTTTGAAAAGAAAAATTCTCGGGATCCCAATTCAGAAATTCAAAATTTTCGCACATAACTTATATCATGTTTATTTATTTTGAATCATTTAAAAGAATCTCAACAAATGATATTATTTCAATTTATTTTCATTGATATGATATCAAATTTTAAGAATCTTCATGTAACACCGTTTCGTTGTGCAATTGAAAAATCAGTGCTAAGGAAAGGAAAGCAATTGGATGTTGGAATTGAGCAGCAACTTGTTATAGTACAACGAATACAATTGAATAAACTATCTCAAAAAGCTATGCGTATTCCTACAGAAGCGGAAATTGAACGAGTTTTTGTAAGTTATAATTAAAGAAAAATAAATTGTACAATACAAATTTTTGTGCTTTAAGAAAAAAAAAAGATACGAGGAAATGATTTTTCGAACTTTTTATGAAAAATATATATTTTTTTTTTCAGTCCAAATTCATACTTATAAATATTATTCATTTTAGTTATATATGAATTAATATATACTGCACTCTTTTATTAAAGTATATATGCATTCTGTATGTATTAAATTACCTATGTATATATGAAATTAAATTAAAGAAAATGTGATGAGATTTAGTTGCATCTAATAATTGTCAAATTTTTTTACAAAATTTTAGCAACTAAAACTTTTGAACGGTGAAAGCAGTAAAGGAATGCATGTTATGTCAGAAGAAAAGCGTGCAGAATTTTTAAATTTTACGGAAGCAGTCATACAAACACCACCAGGATCATTAGCATTGGAAACAATTCTTCTCTTTGTAACTCATTATGCTGATTCAATTACAAAAGTAAGTTAATAGTATTTTTTTTTTTTTTATTAATTTACTATTTCAACAAAATTTGCTGTAGAATAAGACATCTTTCTTTCGCGAATTAATTATAAGTATTATTTCTAAGCATATAAATTTTTCCGCATATTTTTTAATTCTTATGATTTGATTTTTAAATGAATGCAAAAAGCAATTTCGAGTTAGATTGTTTATTAATATCTAATAATGATTTTTATGTAGTACTACACATATGATTTAATAATAATGCGATGATTTTAGATATCGGTGGAAAATTCAATGAGATCTGATAACAATCTATGGTCCCTACTGTTGGTATCGGTTCATTTGGTGCAAATGTTGATTGATATTCTTCATGTTATCAATGAACCTGGTAATATTTTATCAAATTATTTTCATCTTTCGAAAAAAAAAACCACCATATGTGTTTAAATTATTACTTTATAAGCAACTAAAAAATAATTGATTTATAGAAGAAGGTGATCGATTGATGGTCTTATTGTTCAAGAGTGATCGACCATTTTTGGATCTTTTTGCAGTGCTTGTAAAACTTTTTCATCGTACATGGCGTGAAATGCATGCAAGTGAAGAAGACATTAAAAAGGTAGATGAAAATTATAAAATAATCTTAGCATTTTATTATTGTTATTATTTTTCGATTTTTTTAGTATCTAAAAGGAAATTAATGGAATTATTGAAAGTGCAGGATCAGTGAAATGCATTACTTTTTGCTAATTTTTGATTGATATTGAAAATAAACTCTGATCAAATTTAGAAACCCCAATTCTGAACATATATTAATTATAGACAAGAATTAAGCAGAATCATTGGGATTCTAATTATAAATCATTTCAAAATTTCAATCAGATGTATGCATCACATGTGATACCATAATTGAATGCGTTGTCTCATGCTGTAAATAGTTGCCGGTAAAATTTATTTTTGCAGGTTTTAGCAGTTGTTAGGAAGCAAATTGATGTTTGTTTACTGGAAAAACCAGACACAATTGAAAAGTTGGAGGAGCTGTTAGCAGCTCATTCGTATCCGCATATGAAGAAAATTTGGGAAAAAGAACGAAGTGCTAAAGAAGCAGAAGAATTACAAAGTGATGCTGTCAAGTGAATTTTTAAAGCTTGAAATTGTTTTATTTTCTTCTGTTTACTGAATTTAAATCATTGATCAGTGAAATGAATTAATCGAAAATAACTGACCTAAATAAGTATTATGTTATATCTTGAAAGCATCTTAATTTACTCTTTTTTTAAACTAGTAGGAGGATCCAGTTTTTTTTTTTTTTTCTTCTTTTTAGATCAAGTTGAGTTCAAATATACTATAGATATAACGTATAAATTAGCAAATATTTTAACTGTGATGAAAATATATTAATTTTTTTTCGTTGATTTTTCAGAGAATTACGCGAATATCTTCGACCAAGTATTGTTGAATTAGTGCTGAAAAATCGTAAGTGCGTTTTAAAAAGTGGCTATAAATTTGGGAAGCTAGTAAAAAGCAAATCGATGCAGAAAGGTTTTTTTTCCTTCCAGTTCATGTTTCTAGCTTCATCTGTGCAACATACTTACTTTGTTGAATTTTTCAAATAGTAGTAGATCTATAATGAAGACCAGAGAAGTAAGACAACTTGATAAGACATAATTGAAATAAGATAAATCGACATGAAACAAATGTAGTATTCGATAACAGTAACGAAATGAAAAAAAAAGTGGCAAAAAATTAAAAAAATACACATGATTAATACATCAATTAATATATATGTTAAGGAATAAAGGAAATATATATATATATCTTTTTTTGTGAAGAAAAATAAAATTTTAATTATCAGATATTCATTAAGGGCAACAATTCTGGTTTTGGAAATTGGATGCCAACGAGAAGATGCTAATTTGTACAGATTGCTCAAACACAGAATCCTCATCAAATGCAAACTCTTCTGGAAATATCAAAAGTGAAGTCAAATATGATTTTGTTATTGTTTTCGTCTAAAATTTCACTTTAATTACTTATGCATCATTTGCTTTTGAAATGAAATAAAATATATTTACAGTTGATATAGCTGATATACAAAGTGTAGTGGCCGGTGGTGAAGGTGATTTTCCAAAGAGCAGTACAAAGGGAAAGAAAAATTCAAATGTACGCGGTATAACGCTTGAAGTTGGTGATAAGCCTGATCTTTATCATTTGTTAACTTTTGATGAACAAACGATAAATGCTTGGTGTGATGGTATCAATGCTCTGATTGGTAATTCTTTTTTTTTTTTCTCTCTCTCTCTCTCTAATTGGTATCTTACCGAATATTTCTATCAAATATTGTTGGTTTTTGTTCAAAAACAAATGCTTTGCCTTTGTTGTGAACAATGAATTATTTCAAGTAGCAATTGCTAATACTATTTTGTGCAATTTCGGATACTGAACTTTGAATTTTCAAATATTTTCAAATGAAATCCAATATCACCAAAACGGTTCATTAGAGAAATTTTAATTATAGGTGTCAATAAACTGTCAATTCAAGCTCAACGACAAGTGGATCGCTTTTTAAATATTGAACTAAAAATGCGATTGCTTGAACTGGATCATATTCCAAATTCAATCGAAATACCACCTCTACCAAAAAATTTTGATTGGATTCCAAAAGATATTGCTGACACTAAGATTTCTGTAACAAAAGTATAACTTTTTCAAACTGGAAAATTGATGTTTTGCATAAAATGTCATTTATGTAATAGTTGCATTTTTAAATATATTTTCGTGCTAGAAGCTTGTATTATGATTTATTGTACATTGTTCAAAGTTTGATAATTAATTTATGTCATATGTTCATACTGCCATTTTTTATTAATTAAATATTTTCATTCTCATTTCTTTTTTTGCGACAGAAGAATTAAAAATAAATTCATAATCGAATAAAATTTCATTCGTAAAATAAGAGAAAAAAAGAATTGATGGCTGTTCACTAAACGATTTAGTTTGTATAGTCCATCTGTTATTGATAACTCAACTACATTCTATATTCCAACATATTCATCAAAATGTAATATTGATAAAAAATAGAGGTGAAAAATTTTTGCATAAATTATCCTCAGATCATAAGTAAATTTATTTAATTGCCTTGATATTACAAAATATGAAGCTGTAGATTAATTCATTAAAGATTAGTAATACTTTCTAATCCTCTATTTGCTTCATTTAATTTTGAAGTAATTTCCTGAATTTTTCATTTTATAACTTACTCTTTGGAATCAAATTTTTTCTAAAAAATTACTAACGAGTTTATTTACCATCCAATTTAAGGCTAAACTAAACGAGGGATTATTTTATTATTTAAGGTGTGAAACAGATTTAATCAGATTAATAGCATTTAAGATGTTGAAGTAAATAAACGACCATTAAATAAATGATTGATAGCATTATCATTTATGGCCATAGGATACACATCTGTTCCGTATAGTTTGTTCCAGCACTTGAAATCGATAAACAAATTTGTCATTATAATAGATCATTTCTCTCCTCTCTCTCTCTCTCTCTCTCTGTCTCAGTAGCTAATAGATTTGATAACAGAATTTGAAGAAAATCGTTAATCGATTATAAAGCAGTATCGAAAACTACTAGTCAATAATTTTACAAGTAATTTTTGATTACTAATATTTCAATTTATCATCAAAACTTTATGATCGAATTCATATTAATCAATTAAATTAACTATTTATCATCCATTACATAGCTTCTTCATACTAGTTTGCATAATCTTCAAGATTGAATGATCATGAAGATTTTCAAAAATTTTGTCTTTTGAAAATGCTCAATATTTGTTGGATAAGCTATATGTGTTAAAATAATGTTACTACTTTTTATCATAGCAAGACAAATAGTAATAATAACAATAATTAATAGTAATAATAATCAATCGTAATAGTAACAATAAAAAAAATAGTAGCAATTATAATAATAACAAGATTAATAATAGTTAGCAATAATACAAGCTTAACAAGCTAAATGTAAAATGAAGAAAAAAAAAGCATTACAAAGCATTTCCGAGATGAAAAAGAATTATCTAAAAAGTGAAAGGAAAAAAGAAAGAAAAGAATCGAAGAAGAAAAATAAAATGAAAACAAGCATTTTCTAAAAAGAAAAGGTCTACAGAAAGAAAACAAAAAAAAAAAAAAAACAAATATATTTTAAGTAATCAATATATAAATTAAAAAATAATTAAAATTTAATTGGATACTGTATCAATTAGTCCATCATTTTTTTCATCACACCTAAACAGTAAATACACCAAACAAAAATTACAAAAGAAAAAGCAATTTCACCGCGTATTTATGCATGAATATAAAAGAAAAATGTATTACAGTAATCAGACAGATTCTAGAAGAGATACTATCCACGTGCGTACTGTATGGTTCTTACGGCTCAGTTAAAGTAATATCCATGTTGGCTACATGGATCTTACAGTTTAACTGGGATACTATTCCGCATATATTCCTGTGATTCAATTGGTACACTATCTGCCTGCATACTGTATGGTTCCCATGATTCAATTGATATGGTATCCGTTCGTATACTGTATGGACAGTATCTATGTACATACAGTATGACCCATGTGTCTGTTGCATGTTCAATTAAAAAACATACAACCACGTGTATACTGTATGGCTCAATTGGAAGAAACAGTTTAAACATGTGTACTCTATTATTCAAATATAACTTCTCATAAATAGTAATAAGCGCAAGACATAAAAACATAATTTCAAGTTTTTTTTTATTTTTATTTAAGAGAATAATATTTGAAATTTTTATAAAATTCAATTTTTGAACCAATCACTCACGAAATAATAATAATAGTAATTATGTAGCACTTATCACTTTTTTCTTAAAAAAAGTAATGATTATAAACAATCATAAATTCTCAAGAATTATTATTTTTCTGAATAGACCTTAATCTATTCTATTTTTCTACTTTTCAAGACAATATTCATCGGATTTTATACCTCTGCATAATTCGAAATAGAACAGAGAAAATGCTATGTACATGACTATAACAAATATTTAATTATTAATTAAAGAATAATATGAAAACATTTACAATACACCAGAAAATTTGCATGGAAGTTTCCGCTTCCTAAAATGAATGAAAATTCAGTGATTGATTAAAATTTTTTTATCTTTGATTTTTAATTACTTTTCAATTTTGAAAAATTTTTTGATCTAGAAAGGAAAAAGGTAAATTTTTAAAAGCAAATACAATAAAATATAAGTAGGAACAATATTATTATTACTTATCATTTATTATTATTATTTATTATCTTCATCATAATTAATACTTATTATTACTATTATTTATTTAATATTATTATTATCATCATATTTTTATTCTTACTCTTACTATCATTATCATTTTAGGGTACTTATGCAACAAACAATTAACCTTATTATCTTCATAACATGGTTATTCTTTTTTTTTAAAGGATTTTATAAACACTTAAAAACATATCACATTAGTAGCGTCAAAATCAGATCTGAAAATTTCAGTCAATTATTCTTAAAATATTAATTCCATCACCTTCATTTATTTATTTATTTTTTTTTTTCACTCCTATCATTTTTGAAATATTTTGTTGAATAAAACAAATTTATTATTTAAATATTTTTTGAAATTCTCAATTTACATATATTACATTAATGATGAATACGAGAAAAAAAAAAGTAAATAAAATTCATTGCAACAACAGTTATTGTACCAGCAATATATATATGTTTGCACAATTTTATAGTTAAATTAAATGCGTCATAAATGAAACTTCGCCTATTTTACATAATAATAACTAACAATAAATTTCGATTAGTAAAATCACCAATTATTATACTACATTTATTGTATATGATAAATTAATCTATAATTAACAAAGCGGCCTTTGTTCAGGATACCTTGATAAGGAATATGCATTACTTGCTGTTGCAGTATGTGATGGAATTGCTGGTTGAGGTATTTGTGGAGCAGCTGGTTGATAACCATGCTTATCGAGTAATTGTAAACGATTTGCTTTAAAAATATTGAAAAGAATTTGAATAAAACATCCAGCTGAAGCTAATATTCCAAGTAATGGATCAGCTAAAAGTTTTATTGCTGTTACGGTATTCCAACCGGTTGCTGTAGGTGTCAAAAGATACTGTAGGGAACTAAGTAATAGAAATGCAGCTGCCATCGGATATAAACTTCCAAGTAAACCAGCTGATGCAACAGAATGATCAGTAGCTGGAGCAGAACCTAAAAGAAAAAACGAAATAAATGCAAAAATGGAAAATTATTTGTAAAACTATAAAAATGAATCCATTTTCAATTCTATTTTTAATTTTAACAAATAAATGAAAGGAAAAAAGTAAAAGAAAATTTCATCATTTCTTAATTAATATTTAAAAAAAAGATGATGAAAATTTAGAGTTAGAAATGAACAGAACTGGTTTAAAAAAATGATAATAATTTTATAAGAAGAGACAAAATTTATTAATAATTTTAATTGCATACGTATATATTATTAAAAAAAAAAAAAAAGAAATTTATAAAATCATACCAATTAATGCTAAACATCCAAAAAACAATGGTACTAATGAACATAGTAGAAGTATTAATTCACGTAACGAAACAAACACCGCTTCAATAATTCGATTTCCGCCACCAACCAAACAAATACCCGATAATGGATCAGCTCGAACACTTTGTGCCATTAAAGCCAAAATAACAATACCCAAAGGTATTCCCCATGCTAGCATATGAGTTCGAAACAACAACGAATCCTAAAAATTAAATTTGTACCATATTTTTTTTTTTTCTATCGTTCAATTTGTATATAATATATAAGCTACTATTAAAGCATGCAAAGAATTAGAAAAAAAAAGTTCTCATAATATTGCATATTTATATTATTTAATAAGATAAAAACTTTATGGTAAAATTCTATTTTAAAATTTCATTTTTTTTTTTTTTTTTGATGTCTATAAATAACTAATAATTAGTTTATTTATTATTTATTCATTGCATTTTCCTTATTTTCGTTATTGTTTTTTTTTTCTTTCCTTTTCATTTTAACTTAAAAGAATGTGCCGTTTCATATATGAAATACCGAAAAAAAAAGAAGGAAAAAGTGCTGCAAAAAAAAAAAAAAACTGAAAAGATATAAATTTTAATTATTCTTTTATTTTCTTAACATATAAAATAAAAAAAAAAAAAAACAGATTAAACAAAGTTTTAATTTGTTATAATAATTTCTTTTAAAGAACTAAAAAAAACTTTTTATAATCCGCAAGTTTTTTTTTTTTTTTGAAATGAAATAAAAGAAAAGAAGAAGAAAAGCTTATAATTTGTTGCTTTTTTCAACGATGCAATTTTTTCGCCCTCAATTTTTTTCATTTTTTCCTGTTGAAGTTTTAAAATTAGAAATAAATAATTGTTGAGAAGAAATTTGAATTTATTTGTAAAAACTGAAGCTGATAAATTTAAAATTTTTACAATGCCTCAAAATTATAAAATCATGCTTGACATTTTATTCATTAAGATAATTAGATGATATGGTTTTAATTAATGATACCACTCAGTTAAGAATTTGTTTAAATGAATAATTGATTAATTTATTTCAATAAAGTCAATGAATAAGCTTAATTATCCGGTATGCAATTAAATAATTGAATTAGAAATAATAATTATGCAACATGGAAAATCTGAATACCGAATTTTGCTGATGCCTTTGAGTATATTTATTCCAGGTGCAGCACAATACAAACCACCATAGTCGACCGGTTGTTCCGAAATAGTACAGAAGAATGGCAACAATTGTACACGGAATATGTTGAACTCCGGTAACCACAAAAATCAATTTTGAATTGTATTCAATACAGGAAATCTGAAATGTTTGCATTTTTTTGTAATTAAAAGGAAAAGAGAACTTTACATTAATAAAGTATTAGACATTTAATTTAATTCCGGTTTAATCGAAAATTCCCTCTTTCCCTCTCTTTTCCTCTCTCGCCCTCCTTCTCTCGTTTTCTCTCTCTGCATTTATATAATATAACTATTATTTAATCTATTTAATCATTATTTAATAAAACTACTATTTAATCATTCTTTTCTTAATCCTACTCTTTTAATAAATAAAATTTAATATTTTAAAATTAAAAAAATATATATACGTATGTATACCTACCTGATCACGATACAGTAACGAAAAAAGATATACAATAGCAGAAACGGAAAATGATACGGAACAAAATAGAAGTGATAATTCCGGTAAACCAACTAAACAATGTTTCCGGGTGCAAAATGTCAGCAAGCAAACGGATGTTAAAGCAGTACAAAGTAATGACATAATAAATAATGCTGTACTAGCTGCTTCACGATCATCCTACAACAAATTAATTAATTAATTAATTAATTGGCTAAAATATCCCTTTTCTTTCTTTTATATTTATAATATAGCTATTAATGAATGCAAAAAAAAAAAAAAGAAATCCTAAAAGGTAATAAATAATTATAAAAATATTTCAACCTTTGTATAGCCATTATTTGAATGACATAATGGGACACAATGTCCAGTTCGATTCATATAAATTGTACTTGGCTGTTGCATACAACGATTTGATGTGATTACATTCTTCGTTATATCAGATTCTAATTCTTCAACTACCGGTGGACCATCTTCATCAGATGCTGGACCTTTCATACACATCGCATCATGATTATTTTCTACAAAAACAAAATTTGTATCAATTAATTATCATAAAATTTAGCAATCAATTATTTTATGTACTGCAAATTATTATTTAATTACTTTTTTTTTTTAAAAATTTATTTTGATATATATATATATATATATATATATATATATATATATATATATATGACTGAGAGATAGTTCTTGCATTTAAGTTTTGAAATAAATAGATGGTAAGATTAAAGATTATTTTAAAGAGTATATATTTATGTTTGTGTTTATCATAAATAATATGTATTTATTATGTTTTCGAAGTTAAATTTTTGAAATAATTAAAAATTAGAAAGAATAAAATTAAATGATTTAAATTAACCGAGTGGAAATTTTGAACAATTCATTGAAATTGGCCATGGAAAACCAAATTCCTTCAACAATGGTTCACATTTCATTTGCACCCGTTCACATAATGGTCGACATGGTCCAATCGCAATTGGTACCTAGAAATTAAACCTGATTAGTTCAAAAAGGTATTTTAGATTAACAGATTTTTTAAAATTTAATTATATTTTAATCTTTGATCAATTACAAATGATAAAATGATAAAAACTTACATTCATTCATTCATTCTTTCTTTTTTTTAAAAAAAATATAATTTAATCAATTTTGTCTTTTTTTAATGTTTATGAATTACTTGCATTTTATCGCAGAAATCAATCTGTCAAATCTTTAAAAATATTGTTCTTATCATCGAGGTCAAAAGGTCAACGTCAAATGTTACTTGCATCAATCAAAAAAAAAAAAAAAAAAACGATTTTCCTTAGTTTATTTAATCCGAAATACTACAACATGATTTATAACTAATATTATTTGATTCTGAATTGTAAACAGTTGTAAATCTTACTAATCAGAACTGAAATAATGAATTCTGAATTGACAAGATATCCTGAACATAGAATATCTCATTAGCATCAGAGTTAAACTACCAGATGGTCAAAAGGTCAAATAGTTCACTACAGAGCAGTAGTTGATATGTAAAATGAGCACTAATTAATTGATATTTGAGAATAAAATGCGATCAAAAATATTATCCAAAACTTGAAGTGACCAAACGCAACATTTTTATCAAATATCTTTAAAAAAATAAAATAAAAAATATAATGAAATGAAAAATAATATAATTATACTAAAAGTTTATAGTGGACAAATTTTAATAAGAAAAGATTAAACCTTATCAGTACACATTGGAAAGTAGATAGAACAGAGGAAAAATTTGAGCCGTGATGAACATCGAATCTTAATTAATGGGTCAAATGTACTGAAACCATTTGCTGCATCACTTTCACTTTCATCACCAACCAAATTTGGAAATCTATAAAAATATCATAAAATTAAATTAATTGCATCGAGAAAATGTTATTTAAACTTTTATTCCTAACATTTATTAATATATCATTTCAGTTTTTAGATTTATTTCAGTTTTTTTTTTTAGAAACAAATAACTTTTAAAAAATAAAGTACCTATTTTAATTCATTTGTTTTATTTATTTAATTAATTTAGATCATATATTTGTTTTATTCGAATTAAAACTGTTCCCATACTACATCAGTTATAATAATTGTTTATTATTATTACCATTATTATTTATCTATTATTGTCATCTATTATTATCATTATTATTTATTTATTACTGTCTTTATTATTATTACTATTATTATCACCATCATTTATTACTATTTTACCATTATTATAATTGCTATTATTACCAGTTCAATTACTTGTATTTATTTGTTCGAACAATAATTTCAAGCTATAATTATTCGTTTTTTTTTTTTCTTTTTAAGCCATTTTATATTTAATTAAATTACTTTTACATTTTTAATGCTTTCATCAACTGAACATTTCTCCTTATTTGCCCATCAAATTTTAGCAATAAATAGATTAGTTGCAAAATTTGTAAATGAGTGTAGTACTATACCATTCCCCCCCTTTGTTTTGCTTCCCTTTCCTACCCATTCCGATAGATAATATCATCTCTAACAGATTTGGTCATTTGGGATTGTAGGAAGTAAGGTCGATCGACACGATGGATGATCGATTGTGACAATCGTTCGAAGTAAAATGGCCTTCGTCCATCTTATCTTTCTTTCTTTTTTCCACACCGATATCATTTATCAAAAATCAAATGAATGTATAAGAATTATAATACAGCAATATTTCTTGATGTTATTGTTATCAATTGTTATTGTTGATGCTATTAATTATTGTTATTTGTTATTGTCATTGCTACTGTTATTTATTGCTAGTTTAATTATTTATTATTGTGTAGTTAATTATTTATTATTGTTTATTATTGTGTAGTTTAATTATTGTGAATTTAATTACTACTATTATTTTATCACTATTAATCACTTAATTACTATTATCAATGTTTTTTTTTTTTTGCTAAAGTTTTGTTTAGTATTTATATTTATTTATTAATTCATACCCTTCATTATTATCAACATTTCTATTATTATTGCTATTATTATTATTATCATTGCCATCATTATTGTTATCATTATTTTTATTACTATTATTAATTAATTAACTAATAATTAATTGTAATGATTTGATTTTTATGTTTGCATAAGTACACAGTGTTACATAACTTTTTAAAGTTATACAATATTCTTTCATTGCATATCTTCCCCCAATTTTTTTTTTTTCATCAAATTAACCATTTTCAATTTCATATTTCATACTTATTTCTATTCTCGATGTTGACATTTTTTAGTTGATTCATATTTATTCGATTTGCTCATTTCTTAAAAAAAAATATCAATCAAAAAAAAAAAAAAGAGAAGCAAAGAAGAAGAAAAAATGAAAGATAGAAAAGGTTATGTGGGATATGTGACGACGAGATATTAGCTTAAGATTTGAAAGAGAAAACGGACGAAAATTTTGCTCATCATTTAAATTCACAATCATTAATTTTGCTCACAAAGATTTGAAGTACCGCTTCTGCTTCTTAAACGTATACATTTTGATTTATTATTGTATAGTATATAGAAAGAGAGAGAGAGAGAGGGAAAGAGAAAGAGAGAGAGAGAGAGTTGAGAGATGAGGCTAAAACTGAATGTGAAATTGTTCACTTTTCTTTTCCTCCTTCGATTATCAATTATTCTTTCGTTTTCAATTTCGAAATTTGTTTTATAATAGCATTAAGTCAATCATAAACATTTATTTATTTATTTTTAATTTCACATCATTTTCATATAAATATTAATTAATTTTATAATTAAAATTAGCTCAGTGGTTAATTCATTTCAGCTAATTCTAATACATTATATTACTTCATTATTCTAAATAATGCCAGTTATCATTATGACATACATCATTATCATATGTTTAACAGTTTGAATTTTAATCAAAATATTTTAAATGCCAGCAAACGTGAGTAATTATAATATCATTATTAAATGTTTAAATTATAATCCAATTCCTTAAATTAACTAATCATTCCGAATTTTATCTTCAATTTCAAAAAAGAAAAAAGAGAAAAGAATAAAATACAAAAAAAAAAAAAAAAAAAAAAAAAGAAAAGAAAGCATCAAATAATAGTAATATCTGGATAAAAAAAGAAAAAAATTCTTAAAATAATAAAGATTACATCAGTAATGTAATTTAATTTAAACATTTATCCGTTTCAAACAAATGAATGCAATAAAAATTATTAATTTAAATAAATGAATTAAATTTAAACCACAATTTTAATAACATTGCATAATGAATTGCAAAAAAAAAAAAAATGAATGTCCATTTACAGTAACAAATTCTATTTTAATGATAATGATAATAATGATAATCATTAATATATTTATTTTGATCTTTTCTATCGATGATCATTAATTCAACTCATTGTTAGCAAACAAATTAAATGAAATTTAATGCTAATAAATTAATTATCAGTTAGTTATTCATTTCAAAATATTATATTACATAATATGAATGTGTGTGTTGTGCTCGTCCATCTGTTGATATCTGTCTGTATATGTTTATGTTTTATATTTAAATAATATAAATATACAATTTACACTAAGGGACAAAATTCATTTGATTAATAACAAATTTCTTTCTTTCTTTCCTTCTTTTTTTTTTTTCTCTTTTTGAAAAAAGAAAAGATTGAATGGCAAAAAAAAAAGATTAGTTTGGTCAAGAAAAAAAGAACGATAAGAATCGAAACACTCATTAATATGATTTGGGAAAAAAAAAGAAAAACGGATTCTTGTCACTTATGATATCTTCTAAAATAGCAATTCGTCATTTATTCTCGAAACTTACTTTTCTGCTTACATTTTTCTTTTTTTTTTTTTGGTTTTGGTTTTTTTTTTTAAAAAAGAAAAAAAAAAAGGAAAAAGAAAAATAAAACATTTTCTAGAATCATTAATTTCTCATAAATCTTGCATAAATATTTTCATTTTGATTAAATTTTTGTTTGTTTAATTCATTTTGATATAATTTTTCATTTGTTTATAAATGGCAAATTGTTGAAAATTTCAAGAATTATACATAAATGATAAATTGTTGAAAAATTACCAAAAATTGTTACATTGAACGAAAAATTTTCTTTTTCTTTTTAAAATTTCTTGGCGGTTTTTTTTTTCTTTTTTTTTTTTTTTTTTAAGAATTCCAGGAATTATATTAGAAATGAATGCTTGAAATTTTTTGAAGTTATTTGATAAAATTATGTACATTCTGAAAATATAAGAAAAAATCCGAAAATTATTACAGTTCAGTAATTGCTTATGGCTTAAAATCATTAGGATTTCCATGAAATTTACTGAAATATCGTTGAGAAAGATTAGCAAAATGAGAAGTGAAATTGAAATAAATTATGAAAATGAATAATTCAGTTATAAGCTAGGATTTGCACTGCAAATTTTAAAATGGATTAAAAGACTGTTAGTATTTCGTTAAATAAAGCAAAAGCTAGCAATAATCCAGAAAATGTGGATTAAAGCAGAAAATGAAATCAATACTTTATCAAATCACTTTATAAATATGCGATAGCATTAATTGTGCTAACTTTATCATAAATAATATGACAAATTTATAAATACCACTGCTAAATTGCTAAATTGAAATTTGAATTAATGAAATTTCCATTGTTAAACAGAAGAGAAGAAAAGCAAATGCGGAGAATTTATAAAGCCAAAAAAAAATTTATCATAATTTATTTATTTTTTTTTTTTGTGAATTTTAATATTTTCTTTTTTCCTTCCTTTTTTCATTTTCTCATTAATGAAATACATAGAAAGACAAAGATAGAGAGAAGAATGACCTTTAACCTTATAAGCATAATGTTGGCTCTTTCTTATTATTCATTCCCCAAACATTGTATTAAACTTTCTTACATACAACGAACGGATCCTTTTTTTTTTTTGAAAATTATCATTTCGAATATTTCCGTTCATTGTTGCAAATAAAGAAAACAACAAAATAAAAAAACGAAGAAAACAAAGTATAATATAACACAAAATAATACACTATTATTTCCTTGAAATGATTTTCAAAATTACATTTTAAAATTAAAATCATTTCATTTTTTTATTGTTGAAAAAGTCATTTAAATAAAGATTTGTTTCTCATGTTTAGCATAGGATTTCTTTTTCTTTATAATTACTTAAACTAATTAGGTAATAGTTTTTGATTTCACTAATGATAATGCAAAAAATTGTTGATGATTTTTTTCAAAAAAAGAAAAAACGCAATTTATCATTTTTTTTTGCTTTTCATTTTTTGATTTTTTTTTTTTTTCACTTTGTGCTACATTTCACTGTCACGTTTGTTCAGGTGTTCTGAGAAATTTTACAAAATTATCATTCATTACAGGTGAAGCAACAAAGGAAGAAAGAGGTAAAACGGAAGAGAATAGTGGAGAGGAATGAAATACAAAAAAGAAAAAAAAGTTTGATATGATGGTTAGTACTGTAGAAAAAAATGGAAGGAAATAAAAATTAAGAGAAAAAAATAATTCGACAAAAATATCTCTAAAAAAAAAAAATTAGAAGAATTTAAGATAAATTTCACGAGTACTACCAAAAATTATACTTTTCCTATTTCTTTCGTTTTTCCTTTTTTTTTTTTGTAAAATTAGGAATGAAATGAAAAAGAAATGAATGGAAGAAAAGCAAACAAATAAAGTTTAAAGTTTAACATTTAGTTAAATTGTAAAAAAAGGAAAAAAAAATTTCCCTCTTTTTTATTTTTTAATGGAAATATTTAAAAAAAAATTTTTTTTTTTCAAAAAATGAATGATGTTTTTTCTGCATTTCTTACGTACGCTTTTACGCAATTTATCCGTTGTTAATATTGGTTTGAATTGGATTATGATTGATGTGAATTTTTATTCATTTTAAAAAGAATAACGAAGAAAGCATAAAGTTTTAAAATTTAGCTTAAGAAAAAAAGTTTTCTTTTTCTTTTTTTTAAAAAAAAATTTGAATGATCGGAAAAAAAAAATTTACAATTTGTTTTGGATGCGATAAAGCATTCATTCATCAATTTGTGGTAATCAAAAAATAAAAAGAAGTGGTATAGAAAACGAAGAAAAGAATCTTTTTACTTTATTTCGTACTTTTCCTCTCTTCCTTTTTCATTCTCTTTTTTTTCATTTGATAAATATTTAAGAAACTGTGATTCAATAATTCATGTTAGAAATTCAGTTGAAAAAAAAAAAGAAAGAAAAGAAAAACATATTTTAAAAATTTTTAAAATTTGAAGAAAAAAATCAAGAATTTTAAAATTTAAAAAAAAAAAACAAGAAATCAAGACTAAGATATATTATTCAAGATATTTTTTTTTTTCTTATTTTGTCTGCTCGCTCTTTTTATTTTTGAAACGATGATTTTTTATGAATCAGTGTTAGATGTTTAGTTAAAAAATATACTTTGAGAATTTTAAATTTTAACAAATAAAAAATCAAGAATAACATATGTATGTTTGAAAATTTCACTGAACTATATACATATTTATTCATTTTTGCGCTCTCTATTTGAAATATTGAAATATTTGGGAAAAAAAGAAGAAACTTCAATTTTTTTTTCTTTTAAGATTAAAAGTAAGCCAATTTATTCTTTCTAGCTAAGAAGTATAAAAGTAGACGAATGAAGATTAATTAATTAATTAATGTAGCTTAAGCTATGAAACAGTTTTCAGCCTCAGTGATAAATGTGTTGAAGATGAAAGAGTATCGAGTCAAGAAAATTTCACGAAATTTAACTAAAAATAAAAATGTCTACTTGTTTTCTTTTTTTTTTTTTCATTTCTCATTATAAAAAATAAAGGAGAAAATAAAGCTTTAAAGAAAAGAAAATTAAAAATGCGAAATAATAGAAATATTTGTAAAATAAAAAAGAAAAATCTGTGAAATAGAAATAAAATAAGGAAAAAGAAAAGGAATAAAAATTATAAAAATTAATTTTTTCATCATTAACAATATTTGCAGTAACAAAAAAGAAAATATAAAGAAAAAAAAAGACAAAAAAACAAATACCAAACTTTTTCTTTATTTTTAGCTATGAGAAAATATAATCTGAGGGAAAAAAAATTTCAAATTATCATTTTTTTTTCTTTTCCTATGTTCAATAAATGTATACAGCTGCCATAAAATAGAAATAAACATTAACTCTGATAAATAAAATATTTTTAAACTAAAATTGATAATGATATTTCTGGAATATATGTTTATAAATTGAGTAAATATTGCACACTAATAAGAGTATTCCCTGCAGTATAATAAAAAGTTTTAAAAAAACCAGTAGTAATTTGAGATATTAAAATAACATCTAATATACTACCAAAATTTCATAAATAACACAAAGTAAAGCTATAATGAAGAAAAATCAAAGAATTGGAAAAATCAACCGAAATTTTGGAAAAAAACCTTATCCAAAAATCAAAATTTTAATTGATTGATTAAGCAAAATGGCTTTAAATAAAGCACTTGTTAGCCTTAATAAATTCTTACACATATTTTAATTTAATTTTTAATCCGTTTTTTTTTTTAAATTCAACATAATTTAATTTATTTCATTTAATAAAGATTTTTTTCTAAAATTACTCTTCAATTTATATTTTATCTATCAACACAAACCTTCTTACTACTATTAGTTTGAATATTATTAATATAGTTCTATCATTCAATTTCATTTTTTCTATTTCGATAATTCAAATTTAAGAATTTTTCCACCGGAAATATCCTTCTCTATCTCTTTCTTCTTCCACTTTTCATTTGTTTTTCCTTTTACTTCCTGTTCCAAAACACTGCTATATTTATTAAATTTTTTTTAGTTATTTTTCTGAATTGCAATTAGTTTATTCAAAAGAATATGTGTCGTTGTCGTTGTATAAAACCCATAAAAATAGCGTAAATTAGAGCTATTTGATATAAAAATGGCGTATAATCTATCGCCAGTAATGACCATATGGAACTCATTTATCTAAAATCGGACAAAGCCGCACACTAATAAATGTTCTCCTTCAGTTTGTATGCACATGTATATATGTCTGTATATTTAGATATACAGATGAGGATGATATATCATGTGACAAAATTTCCATTTCAAATTACAGCACATATATTTTGATATTTTAATAAAATATAATATTATTTAGAATTCAAGAAAAAAAAAAATTGATTCCAACTAATCCATCTACTACTTATTTTATACTTCAGTAAAATATAATATTGCTTTAGTACTAACAAAAATATTTCAAATATTTCTTTACTTAATTTTTTTTCTGATCCTTTCTAATGTTTTAGGTTATACTAAAAATTTATTTATGATAATAAAATAGTTACTGAAATTATCAATTATTGATAAGAAATATGAGAAGATGCAAGGTGGATTTGAGTAATCGGAATGATAATTTCAAAACATTGATAGAAATAATTATTTCAAGAATAGAAACAAGAGTGAGAAAGAGAGACCGATATGGTAAAAATGATTAAACTTGGTCATAATCAGTATTATGCTTGTGATAACACTATGATTGCCTGTGATAACATCATATCAGCTAAAAAGGTTGATACTATGCTGTTGTATGCTATACATACTGTGCGATGTCAAATCACATTCAAAAATTTCCATACTGTATTAAAGTTACCATACACCCTGATACTGTATGTAAACAAACAACATTTAAAAAAATCCTTATATTGTACTGATATCTAAATATACTGTACAGAATTGTATTGAAGTATCAACAAAAAACTTTATACTGTACTGGTATGTACTGAGATGAAGCATACTGTAGTCTTACTATACCAAGATATAGCGTGCTGTAGGGTATGTATTTATATTCGTACAAAAAGGCTCCATACTGTACTACTAGATAGCTACTGTATGCTATATTTACATTATACTTATTTAAATATATTGTGCATTATTTGTAAGGGAAAATGTTAAAGAATTTGATGAAAGAAATTAATTATGGAACTAAATTAGCAAAAGAGAGCAAACAGATGGAGATAAAGCATTCAAGCGTAAACATCCGGTCTACAGATGTTTCCATGGGTCTATACGGTATTCCGATTTGTTACTTAACATTTTCATTTAACTATAGATACAAATATTTGATCTCTGATTTATATTTATGATGTACACTAACAGTTCAAATTTCACAAATAATATATATTGAATAACTAAAACAAAAAATGTGCATTGTCGATGATAAATAAAATTCAACCAAATGCGCTACATTATATTTTCCAATCAAAGGAAGTGTTTTTTAATCTGATAATGCATTCTAAGCATGAAAAAGAATTGATATAAAAACATTAAATGTTGAATGCTTACTTTCTAGCAAATCATCGAAAGTTATCCAAGTTGTTTCTTGTTTTTCTCTAACATTTTCAAAATCAATAAATAGGGTTAAACACCGTTTTTTTTTTTTTAAAAAAAAGAATAAAAGAAGCAAATGAGAAATTAAAAAAATTTTTAAAGTTACCGTATTTTAAATCAGAAATATTTTATATGAAAAAGGAACGATATTGTAACCTCCAATTCTACATGTCATATAATTGCGTCGTTTCATGGAGGCAATTACAGCGTTAAATAGATGTAAATAATGTCGCGGATATCAAACAACGCGACAATATCATACTACCGTAATATTTTGTTTTATTATTATTATCTATATCTACATAAATATCTGTTATAATTTATTTAACCAGATTCAAAATAAATAGATGAAAGTAAACTTATGTGTAGGTGATAAACACCTAATAAACATAATTTAAAAATACATTAGCAATAGATTTAATAATCAATTAATTTTAACAAATATATCATATATAAAAAAAAATTACATCAAATATAAAAAGTAAATCTTCAAAAGCTAAAAAATCATGCATATCATTAATTTATGATAAATTTTTCTAGAAGAAAATTCTTTTTGAATTAATTAATCTAAATTAAAAAATTGAAAGAAAAAAAAAAAAGAAAATAAACAACTTAACCGTGTTTCATTGTACGGCAAATCTTTACATTGTTCCACGGTAATCGGTTGACATTTTGGTGATGATAATGGAAAGCGATGTGTTTTACAAATTTCAATTTTATGCATCATCATTAACCAATAGAGGAGTAAAATTTGCATTCGATTAAAGCAACCAAGCAATCGCGTTACCAAATAAACCATTTATTCCTGTAAAAAAAAAAAAAAAAAAAAGTTCAAAATGAATTAAATAAATGAAATTGTTTAAGCAAAAAAATGATCGTACAAAATGTTAGTTAATATAATTGTTATTGTTTTGTTAAAAAAATAAATAAATAAAGGAGAAGAAAAAAAAAACTTCAATAACTGAATGAATGAGTAATAAAAATTATTACCAGTTAAATTAGTGAAATATTTTCTGATAACAATCACACACACATACACACCACTATGATATGATGTGATCGTGTTGTGTAGTGATGTAATGTGGTTATAATGTGATAATTATACTAGCTAACATATTTTATAAACAAAAAGAAAAAGAACATTTTTTAAAAAATATAAAAGAATGGCCTCGCACATAAATTTTACTAAAAAAAAAAAAAAAAAAAAAAGAAAAAATTTTTCAAATGAAACAAACATTTTGCCAATTGCTAAAGTAGCAGCGATTATTTGGTAAATATAAATAAATGATAATTATTTAAAAAAATGTTTTGAAAAACAAATATTTATTTTTGGTGTGTGTGTGTGTATATGTGTGACTAATTCAAATCAATAAAAATGTATATCGATACAATAAACATTTTTCATTACAATAATTTATGTACGATTAGCTCAGAATAATCGATTTATTTATATCTAATTTAGTTTAATTGTATTAGAGTATGTTTATTGTAATTGTAAAGATTTACATGTATATTTATTATTTCTATGTTATATTATACGATGATTAATTATTATATAATTATAATGTATATAAGAATTACATATTGTAATTAGTTCAATTAAATTTTACATGCTATAAAAACATATTCATACGTTCTATTATGCGATGTTTATATAATATTTTATTACATAAGTATCATCATAACAATGAGAATTATATATTATATTGTAAGATAAAAATAATTAGGTAAATTAAAATGCATAAGCTATAAAAGTACAGTTATTTGTATATTAATTGCATGAGTGACACTAACAAATATTTTATAATTGATAACAATCATCGTTTTATATTGTTGCATTTTTTAACAAAAAAAAAGGGTTCTTGTTTCTCATACTTGAAGTTAATAACTATAAACTTCAATGTAAAATTAAATTAACTGAAAAAAAATACAGCATTAAAAATCATAATTATGTAGTAAAATATAGCATTACAAACAGCATAATTTTTTTCCTCATAAGATATAATTATTATAATTGGCATATTTCTAAAGCATATCTACTACTGTTTGATAGTTCAATTAATGAAAAATGTAACCAATATTTTCTTCGTATTTGTAGACTAATGTTTGCTATTGGTTGACAGTTAATTAATAGAAATTAAATTATTGATAAACATCAAAAAGGATAAAGAAATAAATAATTGAAAAAAATAGCTAATCATTGTTTATATTTGCAAATTGATGTTTGTTATTGTTTAATAGCTTATTAATGAAGGTATACCTATCTTGTGCTTCTTCCTTTCTATTCCACTTTTTTGCTCTTTTTTTCCATAAAAGAATAAAAAATTTAATGAAGTAAAATTTGGAAAATTCCAAAAAAGAAGGCAAAAAATAAAAGCATTGAAGAGGAAGAGGAAATAAATAATTGAAAGCAATTTTTATTCCGTTATAGCTACAAAATCACATCAAATAAAGCAATGTGAGTGGAAAACAATTTTGTGTTCATCTTCATTTTTCACACATAAAAGCATTCCGTACATATTGCACAAATATTCTAAAAAACTAAAATTACATTTGTTGTTATTGTTGTTGTTTTCTCTTCGCTTTTTATTTTTCTTTAAAAAAAGTTTTTTATCTTTTTTCTGATGTGAGGTCAGGTCATTTTTTAGCTAATGGATTAAATATCCTTACCTTTCTAAAAGTAATGATTATTATCCTAAAAGTCATCAATAATGATAAAAATTCATTGATTTAAAAATGAGTAAATAAACGAATTGCAAATAAATATTCAATTATATAAATATCATTATTGTTTTAAATAAGTTTTTTTTTTAATTCATTATAACAAATACTGTAACAAATGTATGCATTAATTAATCTTTTTTTAATAGTTGGATGAAAAAAGATTGACAAGTAAACAATTCTAAAAATAATAATAATGAAAAAAAACATTATAGCAGAAAAAAAATTGCATAATCAATTATTAGATAAAACGATGATATTTGCCATTGTATTCTTAAAGACGCACTGTATAATTTATTGAAAATAATAGTAAGAATAATAGTAATAATAATAATAATAATAATAATAATAATAATAATAATAATAATAATAATAATAATAATAATAATAATAATGACAATAGTAATAATAATGCTAGTACCACTAATAATAATAATAATAATAATAATTAATAGTAATAATAATGCTACTACCACTAATAATAATAATAAATAGTAATAATAATGAGAAAAATTATTACAAACATGACTGGTTTTTTATTTCATTATGAGCATGATAATTTTATCGAAAGTAATATTAGCAGGGTATATTAATAAGCGCAAAAAGAAACCGTGGCGGAAAAATTGATAGATATGAAATGAATTACTACTACTATTACTACCACTATTACTACTACTACTGCGAATATTCACATAAAATTTTATTTCCTGGCAAGATTTATTACCAAACAATTAACAACAAAAATAACACTAAACCAATTTTAATGCTCATTCTTGTCACCTCATTGTCTCATCTCTTCCGTTTTCCCTTAACTTTCCATTATTGTTTCATTTCATATTTTATCCTAAAAGTAATAATTACCTCGTTTCTTTCTTTCTTTTTTCTCCCTCTCTCTTCCTTTCTCTCCTTCTTTCTTTTTCATAACAACAGTATTAAAACTTTAAGTGGAAGTTTTTCAAGTTAAAAATAGTTATTAATTAGTATAAGTGCATTAAAATAACTGTTAATTAGTAATGCTATTAATTACAATATTTGTCTGTAAAATTTACAGGAAAATTTTTTTAAGGTAAATTAAAAAAGACATAAAAAAAGGAATAAAAAAGGAAATCAATACAACAGTTGGTAAAAATTTTAGAAAAAAAATTTTTTTTTTTTTTTCAAATAACTACTAAAAACGGGCAAATATTGAATATATATATATATATATATATATATATATATATATATATATATATATACATTCATCCCAAATTGTGCAAAAAGAGATAGATGATTGGGAGGAGGAAGAAGAGAGATGAAATTTTTAGACATAAGAAAAGAAAGAGGAGGAGAATCTCATTAACTCCTCCTTTTATTTCTCCATCGATGGTGAAGAAAGAGGAGGAGGAAGTGGAAGAAGAGGATGAAGAGGAAGAAGAAGAGGAGGATACCACAAGTAGTAAAGTAGTATTGAAGCAATGAAATTCTTTTTCAAACTAAAACAACTTTTTTCATCCTCTTTTTTTTTATTTTTTATCTCTTCCCCTCTCTCTCCTTTTCTTTCATTCTTTTTCTCTCTTTTCCCCTTCATATTTTCCTTTTTGCTTACAACATATTGAAATTCCCTTTCTTTTTTTTTTTTTTTTTTACTATTTTCTCTTCGTTAATATTCTTCATCATCCTTCGTTTTTCATTTTTTCTCCTTCTATCGCAATATATTTATTTTATCCGTTGTATTTGATTAAATTTGCTCATCTCATTCACTTTTCCCGCTTTCTCTCAGAGGATTACGAAAATCTTGAAAATTTGTCATTTTCAAGTTAAAAAAAAAGAAAGAGAATTGTTTGGTGAAGTGATAAAGATGAGCTCATTTACTTAATACACTAATTCAACATGTTCCATTGCGGCAATCATTCATTTAATCGCCTGTTTTCAACCACCACCGCCCCATCATTCACCATCACCGCCATCATCACCACAAATAGTTGAGGGAGAGAATTTTTTCTTATCACTATTCTATCAAAGCAATCATATCCATTCATGTAATTGATAATTTATAAAATTTAATGAATTTTTGCTAATAAATACCCATTTACCTATTCAGGTATCTATGTAGCCCATTTTATTTTGCTCCCGTTTTTATTCCCTCTTTTTTTTATCCAAATTTTTTGAAAATTTGAAATTGAAATAGATATAATTGTAAAATTTTATATAATTTAAGAGAAATTCATTATTTCATTATGCAATCATATTCCCCACTGAAATTAATAATTTGTAAGATTTGTTAAATCTTAGTGATACATGTGTATATTTATCTATTCCAAATGACCTTAATCATTTTTTAACTTCTTTTGATACTTTTAAGAATTAAAACGAATGTAATGTAAAATTGCAGAATATAAGATACTACTAATTTTAATTTCACATTGAAATTTAAAATGAAAAGAGAAACTTTATATGAGATACTATTTCAGAATTTCTAATTTTAATTCAAAAATAATATCGTAGGAGAAAAAATTTAATTTAAAGTTGATACTGTTTCCTCATTTGCTAAAATTAATTAAATTTCTATCCAAAAACTTCTTATCTAATACCAGTTTTATCATACCTTATACTTTAAAAAAAAAAAAAATTTGTGTGCTACAGGCCTAATAAGTAATTCCTGTGCTTAACAATTATAATTTTTATTGAGAGTTTCAAAAGTTAACTCTTAGAATTTTTTAAAATAAATTTGTTTTCGCTTTTTTTTTTTCCTTTTTTATTCAATAATCATTAAATGTAATACTAATTGTTGAATAGGTAATATTAATTGGTAGAATGAAGTGGAAAAAGAAAGGAGGAAAGAGGGAAAGAGAGGGAAAGACAGAGAAACGGAAAGGAAAGCAATTCCATAATCAAAATGATTTGTGATTAATTGTCACTTACACGTGACGTAATTTGTGTCTTATTCAATTGTCACATTCATATATGGGATCATTGGGCAATTTACAGTTCTCACACTAAATCTTTTCTTGATGATTTCCTTCTTTCTATCTTCTTATCTCCGCAAAAATCGCAAAAAAAAAATTTTTTTTTGCATAAATTTTTTAATGCATAACTTTTGCATAATGTATTATAATCTTTTCATTTCTTAATTGTTATGCTTTGCAATTAATCCATAATTCATAATTATTAGTACAAAAAAAAAAAAAAAAAAAAAAAAAGAAAAATGGAAAAAATACCGATTATTCATTAAATTCATGCTATTACTAGCAAAATCTGTAATATAATTTTAATTACAAATTATCTATCTATTCCTGTATTGTATTCACATTTTCCTTATCTATGTATTCATATTTTTCTATTGAAATTACGCTGTATTTTATATTTTTTTTAAAAACAACAATAACAGTGAAACGACGAATAGAATGGTAATATATGTGAATTAATAAAAAGTAATTGAAGAAGCAAATAATGATAACGAAATAACTGGGTAAATAGATGGAATGAAATGTTATCAGCAAATTTATCATCTAATCAGTGTATACTTCTTTGCTAGATGGCATTATGTCGTTAACAGAAGCAAATATCACTTTCTAAATTATATTTGATAATGATTTATGACTTATCAAATTATCATTTAATACAACAACATATGATATATCCACTTTTTTATTATAATTCATTTGACCTCATCAAAAGTATACTACCGCCATGTGGTCTCATCAAAACTATATTATTAAAATATATATTTTATCTATTACTGTTCATTTATTTCAAAAACATTAAAAATTTAGCTCTTCTTGTTCTCTATCTTTTCTTCTTTTTCCCTCATATAGAAAGTGAAATTACTTAATGTATGATGAATCAGTGGAAAGTAATCAATAATGTAAATTGAGCATTGTCAAAATTGCTTAGCAATTATCATTTTTCATCATTATTTTGTGAAATAAAATTTTTATTTCTATTTCTGTTTGTGATAACAGATTGATAGCGAAAGAAAAAAGACAGAGAAGAAAAGAAGAGAAATGAAGAAAGAGAAGAGGAAATATGATGGAAAGAAAAGCAAACAGTAAGATATTTAAATCAACACTAAAAATAATATATTAAAATTCTGAAATCATAAAAAAAATTATTTTAAATATAAATAAAATATATCATTCATCTTCTCTTATATGATTCTATCTTTAGTCTTCACTTTAACCTATATTTTATTCATTATCTTTAATCTCCTTCATCTTCTTTAATCTACATATATATTTTTTAATTATCATTATCTAGTTTACCTATCATTTTTAATCCTTTTCACTTTAACTACTTTAACCTATATTTTATCTATCAATAATTTATATTTTTATTCATAATTTTCAATCTTCTTCATCTTACTTTATCCAAATGTTTTACCTATATTATAATTTTCAATTCTTTTCATCTTATTTCATCCAAATATTTTACCTATATTATTATAATTTTCAATCTTTTTCATCTTACTTTATCCAAATATTTTACCTATATTACTATCTTCTGCTTTCCTTCCGCTTCAAATACTTTCTTTCTTTTTTTTTCCTTTTCTTTTTTTTTTTTCTTTTTTTTTGTTGTCAAAAGATTGATGAATAAATAGATAATGCTAAAGCATGAAAAGGGTAGCTAAGTTGAAAGAAGCAATATATTTTCGATTACAGAAAAAAAAAGGAGGAAGAAAAAAAAGCCAAGAGGGTTTCTTTTCATCATTTGTCTCCTTGATATATTGAATATTCATAACAGATTGTTCTCGTGCTTTTTTAACGATAACGAAACGTACGAATCAACGCATACGTAACCGCTTAAAAATGAACATTCATCCTATATATACATGTATATACTGCTTGATATTTTTCTTATCAGTAAGTAAGTATGCAGGGATATTTTAATCATAAGCTATAATAATTTAAATTGTATTAGTAATTAAGTATTGTCTTATCAGTAAATAAGTACGTAGAATATTTTGATTATAAGTTATGGTCATAAAAATGCGTTATAAAATAGGTATTGCCTTATCAGTAGCATGTAAGAATATTTTAATTATAGGATAATAACTCATTAAACTCATCATACAAATGATAACAGTTATCTTATCAGTAGACAAACGTATAAGGTTATTTTAACCACCGAGTTATAATTATATAAATGAATTAATAAATGAGTATTGTTTTATCAGTAAGTAGGTGTGTATAAGGAAAGTTTAGTCATAATTATAATCATATAAATTGCATCAGTAATTAAATATTGTATTATCAGTAAGTAAGCATAGAGAATATTTTAATCACAAGTTATGGCCACAAAAATATACCATAAATGTTGCCTTATCAATGTGTATATAAGGATATTTTAATTACAAGCTATCGTTATATAAATAAGTAAGTGTGATAACAATTGCACCAATGATTAAAGAATCCTTAATGTATATAGCAAAAAAAGAGTGAAAAGAAATAAAATAAGCAAATAAAAGTGTTTAGTGTTTTTTTTTTTTATAATCTATAAATAAATAAATAATGATCTCAAAGAAAAAAAATAATAATAAGAGCATTTAATTTATAGTTGCTCATTTTTCTTCATTAACAAATTGAGAAATAAAAGAGAGAAAGAAAGAGGAGAAAAAGTTTTTAGACTGTTCGCAGAAAATGCATATTAAATCAAAAAAAAAAAAACTGTTGCTGCTATCATCAGTATTAAATGATGTAATTATTTTTTATCAACAATCTAAGAAGGAAAGAGAGAGAGAAAAAAGAAAGAGAAAGAGAAAAAGAGAGAGAGAGTTAACATGATTTTAAACCATTTTAAATTAGTATTCTAAAGTATGTACAATGATGTACCATCATTATCAATATTTGTTTATTTAAATGATTCAATCCAATTATAATGATTATCCATCGATAAAAAATTGATATTCCAGATCATTCGAATCCATAAAAACTTGAACTTTGTTCATCTGACTTCATCAAGAATGGAAGTATGCACAAATAATTAATAAATTAAATAAATAAAGAAATAAACAGAATAAGTAAACTAAAATTAATTGATTAATAAAGTAAATGAATAAATAAATAAGCAAATAAATAAACAAATAGATGAATAAATAAATAGGCAAATAAATAAACGAATAAATAAATAAGCAAATAAATGAAAAAAAATAAACAAGCAAACAAATAAACAAATAAATGAATAAAAATAATAAGTAAATTAAATAAATAAATGACTACAATATCCGATATATAAATATGATAAATAAATTCGTCTCGCATAATTGTATTTCATGACAAAAAATTTCTAATTCAATTAATCTTTGCTAAATGTCCTTTCTTTTCCTTTCACATTTTGCACATAGATAAATAACGTATTTACAAAACTGTATTGTATCAATTATTTTAAACAAAAAATAATCCAAAGAAACGGTATCACAAAATACTGTGAAAATTAAGCCAATCAAAATTAGAAAATTATTTGAAGCAATAGTTACATACAAAAAGAAACCAAAATATGGCAATAAAATCAGATTAAATATATGAACTGATAAATTGAGATTTAAAAAATGATCATTTATTTTTAACAAAAAATAAAAA